TCTGTCAGAGTGGAAACAAGCCTGAGATGGGAACGACTTACCACGGGCTACACTTGTCTAGGTCACTGGAGAGTTTTTCCAGAAGTCACTTCCAAGAACTCTCAGGTGGGATAGCCCCAGTAAAACTGTTGGTGGAAACACAGCTCGGGGAGTACTTTTTCAGATGAAAACATGAATCACTGCAGCCAGGAAAAGGCTTGTTGATGCACTGCCACGCTTCCTTCTGTTGCGTCTGACGTTGCGCTCCTCACCCTGGCGACGTGATCCCTGCGTCATGCCGAGGGCCCGGCTCCTGCCGTGCTGGGTGTCCTGCTGCAGCCTCCTCCCCTTCCATTTTCACCATCTCTTCTGTCTCTGGGTGTTTTGGGGGTTGGGGTTTTGGGTTTTTTTTGGTTTTTTTTTTGCTTTCTTTTTTTCAACTTCCTCTGAAAAAAGGAGTCATCTAAACTAAGCGTGACTTTTTTTGGTTTTCCTTCTGTCTTCTAAATGCTCCTGACTTCAAGCTCTCGGGCCAGACGCCGTGCAGTGCCAGGTGCTGCTGCCGGGTGCTTGCCATGAAATGCTCCAGGACACCGGCAGCATCCGGGACAGCACCTAGGGCCGAGAGGGACTGCATCCTCTCCCAACAAGCAAGCAACCAGGGCTCTCCTTTCAACAAAACCCAGATGTGCTTGCCAGAAAGCCACAGACCATGTGCTTTGGCTTTGAGATCAGAGAGCACGGACGGTCCCTCCATCTCTCCGGAAATCCCGAATGCTCGCATTTTCCTGAATTAAGTCACAACTTACTTAGCACGCGGAGGACATTCGGCTCTGACTCCTCCTGCAAGCAGCTCTCCTCCTTGCAGCGGGGAGCACACCACCTCGGCTGCCCCAGTGAGGGGCTGCACCCGTGCAAACACCTTCCCTCCTCCAGCACTGGCCCAAGTGTTTCCAACGCGTCTCCAACAAGCGGGCTGCAGAGCCCCCGGCAGGGTACAATCCTTGCGAGGAGCAGCATGGCAGGCATGGGGAAAGGGACGGAGGGGGCCCGGGGCTGGCTGCCAGCTCCCTTCTAATTCCTGGGGCTCTCCGCTC